ATATAAGGGTGAAATGAAGACTCATCGTAAAAGTGGCTTTAGTGATTTTAAGAATCTCTCAAGGGAAGATGAACATTCTTTAAAAATTTGATGATCAGATATTTTCGTGAACATGGCACATTGAGCGAATCCCAGAACCCCAGGGTTAAAAGGGACCTTTAAGACCCTCTTTCATAATCACCACAGATAAGAGAGAGTTGGTTTTGCAGCTAATATTTAATTAATTCAGTTCTTCTAGGGGAAAAAGTCCTCGTAGCATTAGCACCTGCCTCACAGGTTTCTCATGGCTTCAAAAATTGTTCACTAGTGGGAATTTCTATTAAAATGTTATAACTAATGAAACGAAGCCATGAGTAGCTCAGACTAGGAAGCGCTAAGTATGATATGAACTGCCTCTTTGTCCCAGATTATTTATTTTAAGGTAACTTAATTTTACAAAAACCAAATGTATTGGTTTTATACAAATGTTTGTGCTGACATGATTTATTTTCAATAATAATACAGCAGAGAGAATTCATTCATTCATTCAGCAGTCATTAAATGTTTCATTAGAGCCTATGAATCCTGAACACAAAACTAGAAGAGTTAGCACAACAAGGATGAAAAACATGGATTTTGTGGTTAAGTAGTCCTGGATTCTAATGTTAATTCCAGCACTTCCTACCTGTGTAAGCTTGGGAAATGTAGTCAATCTCTCTGCATTTCAGTTTTTTATCTATAAAATGGGTTAATAATAATGCCTTTTTTTAGGGTTGCTATGAAGACTGAGATAATACTTTTAAAGTATTATACTTAACACAGAAACACATAAGAAGCATTCAAAAATATCAGTTATCATTTTTATTATTGCACTGACCATTATAATTCAAGATATTAAAGAATTTTAATATTTACTTTTTGTTATAAACATATCCATAAAAATTATAAAAATAGTTACATAGCATTAATATTAGCTCCTAAGTGATCATTTATTAATAATGATAATTAAACCTAATTGATCGTTTCTCTTCTAATAATTTCTCTGAAGATTTTAGGTAGCTTCCAGTTTGAGGGAAGAAGAGGCAATTTTTAAATCCTTTCCTTGTGAATTTTTTAAAGATACTGTACAAATACTAGTTTATGAAAAAATAGGATTGAAGACTAAAGTTTGACCTAGAACGTGAAGTGATGTATATTAAGATGACCATGTAATGCACAAATCAGAAACAAAATCAGTCTAATAACATTTTTAGAAAAGCAACACTGGAAGAATGAGCTAGATTCCAATAAGCCAGAAGCTAGCGCCAAATCATCAAACTCTATCTAGGAGAGGCGAGTGTAATATGAATTTTTAGAATTTATAGGCAGGTTTGGGGACATTTTTATTCTTAGAAAGACTTTTCTTCTCCCCTATGAGCCAGTGGATCTTTACGACCTTGATTAAAGGTGATATGTGGGTTTTGAAATGTATTCTTTTTCCTACTGCCTACATTTTCATTTAGGAGATATTAATGCTTGAGAAAAAGAGAAACTGTTCTCTTAGCTTGCAACAAAGTAGGTCAGCTCTGAAAGGGCAGAGAGCAGCCTAAAAACAAAAAGGAACAGAGTCCTTTGCAAGCAGGCGAATATACTAGAGGCTGACCTCCCGGGCAGCTGTTCATTATTCCCGTGCCTCTGTGAGAAAAGAGTGACAAAATGCTAAATCGAAACCTGTTGGGAAAGGTAGTTTCCCCTCAGAGCTAAAATCAGAGGGTTTCCATCCTCAATGGTATAGATTCAGATCAGTCATGCTGAAATATTCGATGGGCTTTCAGGGGACAAGCATAGCAAACATGACAAGCCTGCTTCTGACTGAGCGCTAGCCGCAGGGAGCTTCAGATTGTAGGCTCTCAACACTGACTTTTATCTTGCGTCACCAGAAGTTTTGCAATTTATTGTTTCCTTCCAACACTACATATGTTTTTCTTGTTGCCAAAATATATGCTTCTCTTATTTAATATTGTCACCTCTTAGTTCACATAAATGAGTACTCTTTTATCCATGACTAGAATTTTCTCTACTCCATGTCCTAATGCATTTTACATGGTTTGGTTTGGTCTACATTTAGGGCATAAATTAAACATAGACAAAATTGCCTTTGAAAAAAAAATCCTTAAATTGACCTCATAACAGAGAAGACATGATTTTGCATATATAATCCTGCATAGTAATTTTTACTCAAGGATTTAGGAAGACTGGATTCTAAAGGAGGGAAAAGCTGAGTGGGCAAAGTGTAGGAGGAAAGCCTGAATGCAGAGAGATACCTGGGTGTTTAAACCATTCTGTTTTTAAGTTCACAATCTAATCCCTCTAGCAAATGTGGAATGGTGAGAGAATTTGAATGTGCTTCTGCTTCGCATCAGGGTTTACTCCATTTCATTTTCAAATTAATCCTCTGTGCTATTAACAGATGTCATTTGGTTGCTTTGTTGTTGTGAGAATTGAGCACCATGATAGAGACTTGTCTTTGGGTTGCTAGGGGTTGCAGGGTGATGATGTAAAGACTAGATTTCCAGTCCACTGAAAACAGCCAACCAGGAAGGATCCCAATAAAAACACTGGCAGACATTTTGAAGATTTTTGAATAGAAAAGCCGAGGAGGGTTTGTGAATGGAGAGGCCTTGAGGAGCATCAGGAATGACTGATGGTCATACAGAAATAATTTCTCACTCAGGGCATTAAGAAAACTGTGGAGCTTCTTGATTTGTATTCAGTGAATCTAGTCACTAGTTTTATAAAATCTCATTATCAAAAAAAAAAGTGTGCTGTGAATACATCCACTAAATTCATTGCCAGCTTCCATTGTGGTCAAACTTGATATTACTCTGAAAAGTATGGCTGTTTTATCAGGGACTCAACTTTTCAAAGTTCCACCCACATCATATCAAATATATTAAAAAGAAACCACAACCTTTGTCAAATATACTTTTTACTGTAAACAAATATTTTTGTTAATTATTACTCTTGAGTATTTTTGTTTTTTGTTTTTTGTTTTATTTTATTAGTTTCAGGTGTACAAAACAATGTAATAGCTAGACATTTACACCCCTCACAAAGTGATAACTCCCCTCCCCCAACTTAATACCACTTTGACATCATTTATATTATTGGGTTCTCGGAAAAGCCATGACACATGTTTGCAACAGATGGCACTAGTTCATTTTTGGAAGTACCAGAGTCATTTGCATCTATGTAATTCCTATGTCATTTGACAGCTGACAGTTCTAGCTTTATTCTGAAAAAAATTGAGTTATTTGGTTGAGTTTTGGAGATTTTACAACAAGTTGAAGATGGCAGACCAAACTGTGCATTTTTGCCATATTTTACTGTTTTTCTTCCATAAAGGGAAGAACATGTGTCAAGCTTGTGGAAAGTTGCATGAAGTTCACGGTGACAATGCTCTACAAGAACATCAGTGCCAACGATAATTCACGAAATTCCGTGCTGATGATTCTGATCTCAATGATGCTCCTTAGTTAGGGAGGCCCACTGAGGTTGATGATGACAAAATAAAGTCATTGATCGAGTCAAACCCACATTACACTACACGAGAGATTGCAGAAACATTGAACTTCCATCATTCAAGCGTTCACGACCACCTGAAGAAGCTGGGATACGTTAGTAAGCAAGCTCAATATTTGGGTTTTGCATGAACTCAAAGAAGTTCATTTGACGGGACATATAAACATCTGCAATATGCTCATTAAACATGAGGAAAACAATCCTTTTTTGAAGCGACTGATAACTGGTGATGAGAAGTGGATTATTTACAACAATGTGATGTGCAAACGGTCTTAGTCCCAACGTGATGATTCACCTCAAACGACATCGAAAGCAGACATTCATCAGAGGAAGGTTATGTTCTCAGTGTGGTGGGATTTTAAAGGTGTCATGTTTTTCGAGTTCCTACCAAGGAACCAAACAATCAATTTGAATGTGCACTGTTGGCAATTGGACAGTTTGAATGAATCCATCATCCAGAAACATCCAGAGCTTGTTAATTGTAAAGGAGTTGTGTTCCATCACGACAACCCGAGACCACACACAAGTTTGATCACCCATCAAAAATTATTGGAGCTTGGATGGGATGTGTTGCCATACCCACCATACTCGCCTGACCTTACGCCATCAGACTTCCACTTGTTTTGTTCTCTTCAAAACTCCTTGCGTTGTATAACGTTCAATTCAGATGAGGCTGTAAATCAGCACCTTGTTTAGTTTTTCACAAATAAAGACAGGTCCTTGTATGAATGAGGAATTATGAAGCTCACTGAAAGATGGCAAAAGGTTATTGAACAAAATGGGCAATATATCATTGATTTATTTTTGTTCTTTATATAAATAAATGACATTTGAAAAACATAGACCAAATACGTCATGACTTTTCCGACAACCCAATAGAAAGCACAAATTGATAGTCACAATATTGCCATGGGGATATGTAAGACAGTTTGGGGAACATAATCAATAATGTAGAGACTGTGCTCATGAATTTTTTGGATTTTCAGGTTTCCTTTTGTACTTTTGGTGAATTCATTTTTTCTTTTGGTAGGCCTTTGAAATTCTCAGAGGCCCTACTCTGGCTGGATAAACTGGCCCTTCTGAAAATAAATTAGTCATTCTGAAGAGCATTTAGCACTTTGTCCCTTTCACTGAAAAGAAATAGTACATTATTTTGATTTACAAAAAATAGCAACTGCAAGTTCCTCCAAAAAGTAAGACTTCCTGGTCCATATGTTTTCATTGTACAGGGGCTTTTTGACAAAATGTTGCTTGATGAACCTAGACAGCATAATTATGTTTGCATTGTAAGATTTAGAAATTAAATTTATTCTTCTTAATAAAGTATTCTTAGCCAGTCATGGACGGTTAAAGGGGACCTAGTTGTTTCAAAGAGTGTTAACATCTGCAGAGGGACACAGCACCAATGCCCATGTTGTTTGGATGAATTGCAAATACACTTGTTTCCTGTTTTTGCACAGCCTCCATAGTGATTGGGAAATGGTGGTGTGAGATGGAGCCTTGCCTAGAAGGAGAAGAATGTAAGACACTTCCTGATAATTCTGGATGGATGTGCGCTACAGGCAATAAAATTAAGACCACAAGAGTAAGTCCATGTATTTCAACTGTCTCGTGCATGTTACAAACTACTATTTACCTCTGTGTTGTATGAACACCACCCAAGAAGCTTTGAAGAGGAGAGAATAAAGCCTTTTCCCCGACAGAAACCATTCTTAACTATTTAGATCAGTAGTCCATCTATCAACAAGATGTTAGAGATTGAACTTAACTTCTCCATACTGAGCAGTTTAGCATTTCTGTTACTGGCTCATAAATAAAGCTAGGTTGCAACAGCCAAAGGAAAGAGGACCAGTGAGTCAATTATTTGGATAATTCATCCAACATCTATGGTGCTCAGAAGAGACGATAAAATAAGGGTCTTGCCTCATTCATCCAGATGGCTTGTTGAAAAGGTCTATATTTAAGTACAGCCATTTTCTAAAGGTTCTTTAAAGGAATTGTTTGATGAACTTATAAGGAAGTGATAGGTTTTTGTGATGTGAATAATCATTCCTTGATTTCTCTGGCTAAACCAGGAGTTCTCTTCAAAATATATAACAACCTGTATGGTGAGCCTACCCAACCCATAAGAATTGGTGTCATGACTGCTGGAGCAGGATGGAGAGGCCCAACTAGGCCACCATTGACCCTGTAGATACTGGACCATAAGAAAGTCTGGGAGTCCTACAGGAAGTGGTGGGGAGGGTGGGGTGCTCAAGACACTTAAGACAGCAACTATGTACAAATACAAAGATATGTTACTATTTTAACAACCAGTCATACACACACACACACACACACACACACACACACACACACACACGGGGGTGCCAAAAAAATGTATACAAGTGGACATTTTGGTCAGTGTTGCTCAAGCAGTAGTTTGCCATAATCAGAAGTGCCTGAACACTGATGGGAACCACTTTGAGCACCTCTTGTAATTGCAGAAGTCAAACGTGACTTGTATTCATCTTTTGTTATAGGCATATATTGAATTATAATTTTAATACAGTTTTTCTATCTTAAAATGTGTATACATTTTTTTGCACCCCGTGTGTGTGTGTGTGTGTGTGTGTGTGTGTGTGTGTGTGTAGTCATATATTGGGTTGTCAAAAAAGTCATGACGCATTTTTGCAGTGAAAAACATAGAAAAATACGTCATGACTTTTCTGACAACCCAATATATGTGTACCATGTGAATATCAACCCTGTTGTATGTATGTATGTATGTATGTATGTATCTTAGTGTGTTAGGTATTTTTTAAAGCAAGCTCCACCAATTACAAATCCCAATATGTTGAATTTGTAGTCTTCCAAAAGGGTGATTTAAATTTAAAAGGGCATCTCTGATTCCAACCCCTGTATTATGAGACTTAACTTGATCTTTCTTCTCACCATTATCTTTTCAAAAAATAAAATTGGTTCTTGCAGCTTTGTGATGCAGAAAACAAAAGTAATGCTGCATAGTATCATATAAGCAATTATTTTATATACAATAGGTGGAGATGCTTTGCATGTCAAATTTAACTGCCTGTACTGATCACATTAGCGAGTAAATGGTCACACCTCCCTGGCTTGCAGGCAGGAGAGATTTCTGAACCATCCTAGCTTATTAACCTGCATTTTCAAGTAGCCGAGAAGCTCAGCATGGATTATTGTATTTTGTTTCAATGAAATCTCTATAGAAGAAATATCTACAGAAATAAGCCTGGTTGGTGTCAATTGCCCACAGAAACCATTTTAATTATCCAGTGGACTGTGGGTTTTAGATTTCCCTTCAGTTATATTTTACCTGAAAATGATTTTACCAAATAAATTAAAGATGCCCTCACGAGTTGGTGCTAAGCTATTCTAAGTTATTATTGCCAGTGTAATTCCAGAATCATGAATTTGATCATCATTATTTTGAAAACGTTGCTGATATAGTTTCTGCCAAATCTCCATTCTCTATTCCAAATGATAACTGATCACCATTTACTGAAGGTAAGCCCTGCTCTCATGGTGCCTCTGGACTTGAAACTCAGTAAAGAACAATAATGCAAGTCAAATTATGTCAGGAGTTAAATAGGTGAAAATCAGGAGTACCAACTCGGAGACTCTTTGGATGCTAAAATATAAACAAATAATACACAGACATTGTTATCGCGACTTTTTGTGACCTAACTTTCTGTTAATCAGCTTCTGTAGAGAATATTTTAAAAGCATCAGGCATGCTGTAAGTACATCCTAGACATTTTCCAGCCTCACAGAGGCACAGCGCAAAAGCTGATCAGGGTAACATAGGCTGCAGCACACTAGGTTTGCTGCCTCCCTGGGTGGGCTGAATGCAGCCAGTCGAGTGTACAAGAGAAATAAATCGCTCTTGCAGTGCCTTTGAAAGCAGAGGCTGTACCTATTCTGACGTGTGCATCCATTGCAAGAGAGAAAATGAGAGCCTGCTCATCAGCCACATGAGACAGTCAACAGAATTCTCAAGTCTGTCTTTAGAGAAGGAAAAAGAAGACACTAGAAAAAGCATACTTTTTAAACCTTGAGAGGACTCCAACACTACTCCTGACTTACATTTCCTCCCCTTTTCTTACCAAGAAATTCACAGTGAAATAAGCACTTTTCAACACAAAAGAACCAATTAAGTCCGATGATACATACAGGAGCTTTCCATTCAGTATAAATGGTGTGCAAGCAACAGTCCTTAGATCATATGCTCTAAAAATAGGTTTTATATTAATTTTTTTAGCATCTATTTTCCCCATTAGAGAATGAATATACCTACACACTTCAAATATTGACTCTAGTATTTTAACTTTTAAAAGCGTTTAATGCACAAATACTTTCATTTGAATCATGTTTTCATTTTTCTGTTCTTAACTAAGGTAGTCTTCAGGATAAAAATAAATTCTTCAAGTTCTTATCAAAGTGAAAGTGGAAATTAAAAAATCAACTTTTTTGTTTTTATTTGTAAGATTGAAAGACAGTGGCTGTTAGGGGAAAAACAAAACAAAACAAAACAAAAACAAAAAAACCTAAAGAAACATACTCAGATTGTTAATGACAACTGACAGTTTTGTGTTATTTTAAAAAGTAGCTCCAACATAAAGTAACTCCAACATGCAAGAATGATTCATGGTACATCATTGTTTTTCCTTATATAGGTTTTTTTCAAAACCTTCCTATTATAGGGGTTACTTCCCAAATAATCATGCTAAGCCAGAATTCTCAGTAGTTTGTGAAATGTAGATAAACAAAAGATGCTTCAAAGTGTAATCTAAGTTAGAATTTTATGATGTTCCTTTTTTACAGAAGATAGAGAGTATAAATTCAGTGTTTCATTTAAATACCCAGACACCCCAGATTGTCGAGTAGCCAGGGTAAAAGGCCACCATCTAAAGGAAAACCTTGGTGAAATTGGATCTGGGTGACAATAGACCACACAGAAGACAGATGAGTAAAATTAGGCAAAACCTTTCCTTTCAGGAGATTTGAAAGAATAAATCTAAGGGAAAGAGGACACGTCCTGAGTGAATGCCACCTATAGAGAGTATGTAGTCACCCTTATGCGGTTTTCCAAACCCAGCCTGGAGTAGAATAAAGCTGGTGACACACACCCTCCTGGAAAGAAGCCTGGTACATCTGGGTGACGTTTCATGACTGTTTTAACCCTGTCGCTGCTTGATCATTGCTTCAATTGTTTTGTTAAAATTGCTTTGTTGGTAGTTTACAGCAAGACTAACCAACTTAAATATTGGCTAGAGATTTTTTTCCTAGGGTTTTGGATACCTATTGGTTTATTTCTTTTCTTTAAACTTACATTTGAAAAACGTAAGTTGGAAAGGCAATAGCTCATGCATTCAGGAACAAATCTACAGCCTGTGTGTTCAGGAACAAGGGCGTAATTTAGAAAGACAGACCTCCCCATAGAGGAAATGAGTTGTTTGGCAATGCTGCAATAATTCACAGGTAAAAGTGAACATTGGTTATTTGGGGATAGGAAGAGGAAGAAAACAAAACGAGAAAAATCAAAATCACTTGGAAAGAAAAACAAGCAGATTAAAATAGCAGAAAATAATGTGGTATAATACCTGGGGAAGTAGCAAGCCATTTTGGATTTCCTACAACCCAACATGTTAATGTCTTTCAGACAAGTGAGAAACAGTTAGGGCACAATGTAGAGTCCCCGAAAATGACAAGTGAACGGACCTCAGACGGCACACCTAATCACACCAACCATCTGGTCAAATCAGCATTTTAGGTGATTGGCCCAACACAAACCCACCACAATCATTGGTCCATTCCCTCCTGGGCCCATCCTCCTAATGGCGGCTCTGACTTTGCGGATCTCCACAGCGATTTGTGTACTACTGAAAGGGTAAAGTACTAGCTATGACTTATTTCAGCATCTTCACTCAAAATTCTACCAGGTCTGAAGTGTTCTGAGAGCTTTTACAATCTTGATCTCCATCCTATTTTGCATGAGATGTTTTTAAAATTGGAGGGAAGGGGAAGGGAGAGGAAGGGGAGGAGAGAGAGGGGGGGGGGCAGAGGTGGATGTTTGGAGATTATAGGAAAGAAGAATAAAACAACTGCTATCACAATATCACAATTGTGCCTAGGTCCAACTGAACTCATGCATTTCTTTAGCCAATAAATATATTTGTCTTTACTATTTAAAGTTAGCATATAAAGGTCTTGAGAATGTGATGGTGGGCATGACAGAGCCCCTGCTCTTCCATGTAGGATAGGATGTAAGTTTGGGTGGAGGGGGGTGAGTATGTGGGTTGGTAGAAATGAAAGAAAGGCAGTTTTTGTAAACATCACTTTCTCCCTCCTTTTGCTAAAAAAGAACCGTTAAACAGAAGGTAATGAATGCCACTGGAATATAGGAAACCAGGGTTTGGAAGGGTCTGTTATTTATATGGGGGGGGGGATAAAAAAATAAATGTGTTAAGATTTCTCAGACATTCTACCCCTGGCCCAGCAACTAGTGAATGCACACATTTATTATTATTCCTACAAACCCCAAAAGCTTCAAATGGACTCCCATGCTTAGACTCAGACACTCAATTTCTAAGGCTGTAAAGAATTAAGAAATGATGAAGAAAAATGTCTTATGTCTTAGAACTCTAAAGCAGAAGCTTCAGTCCTATTAGAATCATCATTTATGCTCTAAACCAGTGATACCCTGTGCATGCATGCTTTTGAATATTGGAGTTTTGGGGATCATACTCAAATGGATTAAATGGCATAAATAGTTATAGGAGTATGCCCTTGATTGCCTTTCAGCATTATGTCATTGTTTGAGGAACAGTTCCTCACCTTGCAAAAGGCTTCTATGTTTCTAAACAAATGTGGTCTAACCTTGGCAATGACTTTACCTTATGCCACCCTTTACATCTTACAACAGGCCATCATGATGAGGCTTTGGAATGACCTATTCAGTTCAAATTCTCATCAGACACAGGATTGACTCCATAATTTGCAGAGCCCAGTTCAAAATGAACACATGGGGCCCCTTGTTAAAAAATTACTAATAATTTCAAGATGGCATCAGTGTCATTAAACCAAGTGTGGGGCCCTTTCCAGCACAGGGCTCTGTGCAGCTGCATGGATCTCCTGCCCATGGAGCCAATTCTGGTTAAACATGGTTCCAAGAGTCTATCTCCTCAGTAATATCTCCAAAATTAATTTAATAAATTGATAAAAATATGGTGACCTGTCAGTGTGCTTTGATTACCATTTGAAAACTACAGCTGTAGACGTTAACATTTTTTACTTCCAATCACTTAAAAGAAGCAACCTCCTAAAAATTCAAGATGTCCTCATTTTCTGCCTAATCACCTTTCTTTGTGCCTTCATTTGGTTCTTTTCTCCCTGAAATTTCTTTCTTTCTTTGGTTTCAGATTCACCCAAGAACCTAACAGAAGCATTTGTTGTAGTAATAAAGGAAAACCAACTCTGCGGAAAATACATTTTAAGAATTTAAAACATCTAACACATTACAAGCCAAATAGATTTCTTATTTGCACTTTGACTGGTTACCAGATAATCACAGTGCTTTTCCTATGTGTTATGAAGTGGAAAGACCCAGAGTCTTTGGCTAACACCATGGAAAATGTGTTTTAAATATAAAGTTTTCTCAATGAAAATTTTGGGGATAATGAAGAACGATCAACTCGCTTCTAATTTGGATCTATAGTTACTTTATACCATTGGAAATATATGTATATATAATATTTTGAGATATTATATATTCTCTTCAAAAAATGAACAGTACCACAGTTTGAGGCATCTGGTATAGCTCTTTGAGTTTTGGATGTTTCGTTTTGTTTCTTTTTGTTGTCGTTTCTTCTTCTATTGGCAAAGAAGACATGTGCCCTTTTGAGAGTTCGACATGGCACTCACACCGGAAGGCCAGCCACAGGTGGACTCCTGGGATCTGAGGCATCATAATCCCGAATCAAGCACTTCCTTCTGTTTCTGCCAGACGGCCCGAGGAGGCACAGCATCCTGTTTTATTGCTTTCTGCCCTGTGCAATATTAGCATGCAAGCTTGGCTTACATAACCATACTTTATATTCAATTGATATATGATAACCATTTTAACCTCTTCCAGGAAAATATTTTTAGAACTACAAGCTTTTACACAGGTAACAAAGCGAGGATTCTGGAGGGAGCTGCTCCACCATGCTAGTAAGACTCTGGCAGGTGTATGGTAGAATATGGATCTCTGTATTAATAAATCCTGTAAATACAATGTCTTAAGGCTTTGTATAGCTGTCCTAGACTGCAGAAATGTCCTCTGATTGACTCCAAAGTCTGGTATCATTAAGTACATAGTGCTGTAGCAAAAAGTCTTATCATGGCACCTTTTTCTGTATTTGATTTGCTTTTTCCAAGAGCATTCAGATCTCTTCTGATGAGATAGGAAAACCATTAAAGCAATTAGGTTTCAGAATAATCTATGTGACCAAATGTTGGACAGCCCTATTAAAGTGGTAAATAACTTCTTTCTAAACCTACTTGTCCTCTTTATTTGCCATTTGTTTTTCCACAGTCAGTTTTAGCCAAATCCAGAGAACACCCAGCTTAGAGACTAGTAGTCAGTCCATGAAATCTTTGCTGTCATAACAGCCACTATTTTCAACCCTAATATTTGGAAAACTAGAAACCCATTGTCATAACTGCAGTGTCCTCCACCAGCAAGATGAAAAATAAAATCCCATCGTTGGGCTTTCATAGCGAGCACTTGGATGATACATATGGGGCTCACATCGCAAAAAGATATTATTGCCCATTTTCTCTTTTTGAGAGTTACTCAGCGGATACTTACTCATATATGAAGGGTACATCTACTTAAGTTCTAGTTTACCTGAGGAGAGCATAATATTGGGTTGTCGGAAAGGTCATGACGTATTTTTTCTACGTTTTTCTTTGCAAAAATGCATCATGACTTTTCCGACAACGCAATAGTACTACATGTTTCTATTACTTATCATATTGCAAGTGTATTCATTTTTTTCTCCAAAGCCTTTTTTCTGGAATATATTGTTGTTAGGGCCTCTTATTAAATCAGCAACACAGTAGGTCCCCTAGATTGTTCAATGTTAAACCTCAGGTAAAATCCAGGAGATCCTTTATCTCTACCATATAGCTTGAAGTCTGACTGAATGCATAAGCAGTCTAACCAGATAGATTGATTCTACATTTTGAATGCTTATAAAAGCACCCAGAAATGGAAGGGGAATACTCATTGCAAAATTTAGGCTTCCCAAATACTTTCACAAATATTTGTCAGGAGGCAGCATAAAATTCATACCAGAAAATAAGAATTTCTTGAACTCATGGTCTATATCCATGTACCAAGTAATTGTACCAAATATTAGAAAGTGACTTTCATCTGTAATTTTTGGAGTAAAAACTGAAATAAAAAATTCAAAGAATTATCTAGAATGGTACATCCTCAAAGGTGGAAGAAATAAGTTCTATAATCAAGTATATTTGGGAACACTTTTAAACAAAATAAAATAGAAATATTTATTGAGAGAGTTTTCAGAGCCTCTACAGAAAAAGACACTATGTGGTTTCAAGAAAGATTAGAACAGAGGAGCCAAGTAAAAAACTTCCAGAATCCAGCCATGTTGAGTGATCACTTAACTAATGGAGAGCTCATTTCCTGCCTAATGAAAAGCTACAAAAATTATTTCTGTGTGAGGATATATTCACTGTATTATCATATCTTTATTTTTTCAAGAGAACCAGAAATATGGATTTTTACATAAAATCTCCTAACATTCTTAAACAAGATTAACTAAAATGAGATTATTTCCATGAAAAAACTCTGCAAGCATTATTATTGCCCCAAATTCCCTGATCATGTAGCCTCTTCTGAGATTAGTGTTTCCTGGAATACCCTTTTAGAAGTGTTCATCCTGAATGAAAACCCAATGATAAGAAGAAAGGATATTTTCTTTTCTATGGCCACGCACATACAGATCTTTATCATAATTTACAATGTGTGGAGTTCACAGCTTTTCCTATTTTATAACCAGAGCTTATAAGTCAATGAAAGAGCAAGTCTAGAGGGCCAGGTCTATTAGTTCATTTCCTATTGGTCATTTAATGCAACACCTCCCCCACCCCCCACCCCCGACTCCTCCTTGGAAAGACCTGGAAGAAGAGAGAAGTGGAAAAAAAGACCATATCAGAATCAGGCATCCATCCGATAAAACAATTCAAATATTTGTAAATATCATCAAATTCAATTTAGATTTATCCAAGTCCCTTACACAAATGTGTGAACCACCAACTTGTGTTTAAATTTAACTTGCGCCAGTTTGGGGAATTCAGTAGCTACCATCTGCCTATTGACTCTGAACATTTATGGTTTCAAAACTTATATCATGTATTTCTGGTAATAAAGAACTCAGTGTGGTATGACTAATATTGATTTTGAGCTTGTGCATCAAGTACGATGAATAACGTTGTAACAAAATTAGAGCAAATGTAAAGGGTTTCATCCAGGAACACTTCTATTGGTAAAAAGGAAAATATGGTTTAATTTCATAAGACAAAAACATTTGATTAAGATAAAGCTCATTTGCTGCCTTTTTCATGTGATTAAATTTATGTGTTAATAGGCTTGGCAAGCACGTTGAGGAGTTTTACTACCTGGTTTTTTTCCATTATAGAATGATGAAGAATGTTTTCAACAATACACAATTCGGCATCTTTTTCTGATCAAATCCAGTGTAATTTTCACAAAGCAATACAGTGATTTTATAATGCAGTATATTATGCCACATTACCATTGTTACTGATATAATGAGTTCTGAAGGGTATAAAAATGTTTGTATGAAGAGATCTGCACATCCCCCATCTGCATGGGATATGCACTCCTTCCTTGAAGGTCAAATGTCATGTCTTAATTCGAGTTTCTCTTTTAATGAAGTTTGACAGTCCCATTTCAAAATCTATTAGGGTTTGCTTGACAAAGCACCTTTCTTGAGCTGTCTACCTTCTAAATAAAAGATTTAGTGTCTGGCAAATTCTAGGGCTCAAGCCACCTCCATCTAGTTTATAAATATAAGAGAACAAGATTAAAAGCACTACTAAGGAATGTGGGGACTCGGGACTAGAGGCAGAAGTGACAGAGTCATATTTCCTAGTGCCTGCGGGCACAAGACCAAAGCGACAAAACAGAATCATGTTCACACTTCAAAGTAAATTAAAGAGGAAGCCATTTAGAGATTTTAGGCTGAATAAGCCAGGAAATTTTTTTCCTTGTAAAATATCTCAGGGGCATATCATTGGATGCTGTGGCTTTCTCACATCATTGGTCCACCAGTGGCTTTCATTTATTTATTTTATTTATTTAGGTAGTTTTTGGTTTTTGTTTTCAAAAAATGTTAAGTTCTCATTTATTTACTTTGGCAGCTAGCTACATTATTTAAAAAAAAACAAAACTGTTCACCAAATATGAAAGCCAGGACCTCAACCATAACTGACTATATTTATGGACCAGGCAATATTTATCCAGCCCTAATTTCCACCTGCTTAGAGAGGCTATAACCCAAGAATAGAGTCACATGCATGCTATGAGAAAAACCTGAAGCCAGACTTTCCCTAAGATAGTCGTTATCAGCCATTAGGCCATGGCACACGGATATGTGGCCACACATCCTGGAGTGGGCTGAAAGTGGCTTCTTACTATTAATAAACTCTGCAAATACATTTTGGAAGGAATTACAATTGGTTACGGGTAGTTCTCATACAGGGCCTAAAAGGCATATGTGCCTGCAGGAAGTAGTTAGGTAACATAAGGCAGTTAGCCATGGTCACCTGCTACTGCCAAAGCACTCGGTGCTGAGTAGACCCAGCTCCCTGAGGATGCCAACTGCCAGCACTTGGGCTCAGCCTATCGTTGCCATGCAGCATTAGGGAGCCGGTGTAGTCCAATTCTGGTTTTCCTTTTTTAGGAAAATCCAGAAACTCAGATATTTATATGAAATCTCCAAATTTTACACATTTGTAACCCATTGTACTTGTTTTAAAAAAGATATGGCTGAAGACTCTGTTCTGTTTATGAGACACCAGTTTGCAAATCTGGCCTCAATTTACATGATTCTCATGGATTTCATTCTTGTGTGCTTCCTCTGATAGTAGATACAGTCACACAGATAGAGCTAGTTTGTGGTTCAATACACATCACCTGCAGGCCATGTTACTTTTTGCCACTGAGAATACTGTGGGTACAGCGATAGACATCGGTTATCCTCAATTGGAGGCATGTTAAAGTTGCAAAAAGGGCCAACCACTGTACTAGAATAGAGTAAATGGATTAAACATCCATAGATTCCAACTTTGGGATCACCTAACTAGTGTGGAGCAAAATTAAGGGACTGGAAGGAAGCAGTATAATGTCAGCATATCCCACAGCAGGTGCTAAAAGACTTGAGAAGCTTGTACATTTAGTTAAAAGAATGCTAGGTTCTGGCTGCCCAATCAAAATGGCCTCCTCCCTCTGCTTCCACCTCCCACATGCCCTTCCACGTGTGTGAATTCTCAATTTCTTTGTCCCTTGATGTGGATCCTCCTCAAAATGGTCAGATTGAGAACCTCTGGAGGTCTCACCCCTTCACCCCTGCTATTCACCTCACCACTGTCACATTTCCTCTTCCTCCTTTCACATTTCAGGACTAAAAAGCCCTGCATATATTGAAAAGAGTCCTACAATTATAAGCCAAAAGAGCCCCCCTGAATATTCAAGTCTCTGCCCTCCACTTACAACCTAGTGTAACCTCTGTCTCTGAGCTTTCATGTCTGTGAAATGGAGAGCATTGTACAAAGTTTAAAGGTTATGAGAGATCTAGGGAAATAGAGAAAATGGAAATGTTTTATGAATGTAAAGCAGTAGGTAAGCTGTTTATTATTATTATTATTATTATTATTATTATTATTATTATTATTTTCAGATTACTTTTACTGTGTGTCACCTAAAAGTTCCATGTCAGTGCTAACCCCACTTAAGACAAACAAAAAAAAAACTTAGAAAAAAAAAAGCCAAAATGTTATTTTACAGTCTCTTTCCAGAGACCTCAAAGACTAGACAGATCCTTGCTCAACTTTATAGAATTCCCCATTCGCCATGAACAGTGGTAATTTTTTTAAGCCACTGGAAAATGCCAATATAAACCAGACATGAGCAACACCACTGACACAAGCAAGTAATTGCATACAGGAGTAGTCATCTGCTGGTGTCCAGAATGTTTATCTAGAACCTAAATTGCTAGTAGCCTGAGCCATCTGGTGTGTAAGGCAATTTTCAGCAACTACACACAATTTCAGCAACTACACAATGTCATCACAAGACCACTCTTTCCCCACACTCAGCCGTCTTGTCATTCAGGCTCATTGTCCAAGCAAATTCACAGGTTACCCTGTTACTGCAGAGTTATGACCTTTTATGTCTGGTTGTACACCCAATGCACTGATAAAGACTGCTTTCATTCATTCATT